TTCTCTACCTCCCTCCCCTGGGTTTCCCCCGAGCTGTGTCACTGGCCTTGGCAACCTAGCTGCCACCTGCCAGAGCCACAAAGGGACTGTTTATTTCATCACCCAGCAACAACAACATCCCTGGCTCTAGGTTTTCCCTGGGAGACCATGGGAAGCTAGGGCTTTAGCCCCCACAGGAACCTGAATCTGCCACAGACTGAACAAGTCTTCTCCTACACCCTACCCCAATCATCCCAGCTCTATCCCCTACTAACTTCCTTCCAGAACAAGGAAATGCAGTAGCAGCCTTACAGAGAGGAAGAGAGAAATAAGGCCCTGGGAACAGGCTGCTTGGGCTGCTTGGCAAGAAAGTAGACAAAGCAGCTGGCTGGGCTCTCTGTTCCTTTAGCCTCTGTGAACTACCACCTCTTCTTCATCACTTTATTAGCATAGTGGAGCACACTATTTCACCTTGCCGTTTTTTAATTTTTTTATCTGCTTCACCAAACCTGAAAGAGAGTTCCCCATTACCCTAAGGGATCTTGAGGTTCAGAGAGGTTGAGGGCCATGCCAAAGCCACACAAGTCAGAAGACTAGGCAAGATGATAAACCACATTCCCCAGGATGGGTCAGCAGCACACATAGTCCTCACCCCCATTTAAACATAAGCACTTCCCTCACTCCATGTGTTTGGATTCATCATCCCTGAGCTGGAAGGTTGCAGCAGAGCTAAGCCTAGCCAGGAGTTTCTCTGGGATCTAAAGTACCAGGACCTCAGCATAATTGGTAAACAAAAAGGAGAAGCAGGTGAGAGACGTGCAAACCTAATGGAAGAGGAGAAAGAAGGAGTGCTGGTATGAGTAAAGACCCTGCTTGGTACCAAGCACTGCAGTAGGCCCTTTCCCCATACACTCTGGGAGGGTGATCTTACCCCTGTTCTGGAAGGTCTCAGCAGAGCCAGAAACCAAGCAGAGGTGGATTTGCCTTCAGACTGAGGAAGGGCTGGGAAGAAACTGGTGTAATCTCTGCATGCTGATGGCATGCTATTAATATGCAACTAGACTTCTTTGCAGAGGAGTAAGGAATCAAAAGACCCAGCACCAGCTAGTGTCACTTACCCAAATAGGGTCCTATAGGGATATGAAACTGTGGGGATATGAAAACAACTGTCCACTGGGTCCAAAAGCCTGGCCCCAGGAGATGGGTCCATTACTTACTTGCTCTGAGGCCATAGTGGTTTTCTCTCCTGTAAACTGGGGATAATTTCCCAGGGTTGTTCTGAGAATTAGCTGTAATAGCATTTATGAAATATATTGTAAGCCATATAACAATCCCCAGCTGCAGTAATTAATTGTTCTGCCTCCACATTTGGGTGTTGGATTAATGTTCTGCCACCAGTAAACAACTGAGAGGCAGGGAAAGATGACTCTCTGACCAGGCAATCAGCAGGTGCTTTCCAGGCATCCTCCCACCTGCCCACTTTCACCTCCCGGCCTACTGCCCATCTCCTCTAGCTCAGGCCCTCCTGGGCTCTAGGGGTCCAGGCATTGCTGCCCCTCAGTATTTCAGACAGCAAGAGCTTCATTCCCAGATGTGCCCTAAGTCAAACGCTGTTTGGGCTGGATCTGTGAGTCAGGACTCTGCCCAGACTGAATCAATAGAGCAGACAGGTCTGACCCAGCCAGCAGCCCCAACACAAAGGAAAAGGCTGATGCCTTCCCATGGTCAGTGCTGGGCCTGGCCACCACGGGGGTGGCCAGGGTCTGAATCAAGCTGGGGATAAATGTACCCATACTTCCCTGCCTGTCTTCCCCAGTACCCATGACCTGAAGCAACTCCCCTTCCCAGAAATTCAGCAACTCATTATCTCTGATCCCTGTGTCAGAAATGTTTCCCAGAGAGGCTTCAAGAAAAGCCAAAGAGTGGGCCACTGAATGAAAGAAGTCAGGCAGCAGAAGAAGCAGAGCAGAAGCAGGACAGCAGTTGGACTCCTTCAATCCTCAGTGTAGCCAGGCAGCTGCTTTTTTATCTTCTCTTTGATCGGCAGGTGCATGGCGCTGAATGGGTCATAATCCTTGATTTTTCACTATTGGTTCATACAGGATCCTCTTGTAACTCACCAGCTAGTTAGAGGTTTTAACAATGTGATAAGCCTCCATAAACCCAGCATCCAAAACCAAAGCTAGGACTTAACAATAACCCACATCTAATCATGAGATCCTTCTGCTTAGGTAGGTGAGCTAGTCTCTTTTGTTGGCACATCTTGACAAGTCTTGATTATGTATTTGTAATAGGCCAGGGAATAGTGCTAGAAAGCCCTCCCAAAATCAGCACCATCCTGAACCCCTTGTTCATCATTTCCTTGCTTCTTTATGGAAAAGATTCTGTGTTTTATGTAATCTTCTGGGACTTACTTTATCCTCCAAGATTGAATTGCTAGTCCCGTCTACATTATTTTGTGGCACCATACTCTAATTGTTTTGACTGCTGCATAATATTCCATTGGTTGAATATACCATAGTCAGTGTCTTCCAGGCTGGCCTGGGACTGAATCCTGAAACTGAGATATTTTCCTTAATTCTTTCATTCAACAAATATTTATTAAATACCCACTATGTGCCAAGCATTGTAGGAGACCCCAGGGATACAGCAACTATCAAGATAGCCATAGTCCCTCTAATTCTAGCCTGCAGTTTTGGTTTAGTTTATTATTTTCTCTTTCCTTCTCCTTTTCTCTTCTTTCTTTTCTCCTTTGTTTCCAAAAAGGTATGACATTCTTCTGTGTAACCACTATTCAGTGGAGAGCAGTTGAAAACGTATTAATTAAAGAAGTACTGAGCCCACCTCAGTTCAAAGATAAGGAATTCAAGGCCCCAGAAAATGTAAATTGTAAGCATCCTTTGTTCCTCTGTGTCTCAGCTTCTAGCATATTCCAGGTCCATCAAAGGCATACAGTCCATATTTGCTGAATTAGTAATAAACAAAGGGGACTTGCCCTCCCTACTTCAACCAATGCAACCATGGGGAAGACTCAGTGAGAATGAATGAGTTGACAGGGGAAGGGCCACTAAATGGATGTCCGTGATACCCCCTCAGCCAGCCCTTCTTGTAGCCTTCCGCATTTCAGCAAATAACCTCTTACCTGCTCACTGAAAACCCAAGAACATCCAATCCACTGGCAAAGCCTATTGCCTTTATCTACTCACATGCTGGATCTTTCCACGACCAGTCTCTTTCTCCCTCCTCTTATCCTCACTTTATCCAGCCATGTGGATCTCTATTCTGCTCCTCCAACACCAAGCTTACAGCTGCCTCCCTGCCTAACGGGCTACTTCATGTCATTCAAGCCTCAGCCCAGAGGCCCACCCTAACCATCCTAGCCCCTGTCCTAGACCTCCCACTCTAACCATCCAGCCACTGTCTCCTATAACCTGCTTTCCTCTCAGCATAGCACCCATCACTCTCTGATCTTTTCTTGTTTATCCATGCATGACTTGTCATTCCCCTGCTACTCCCCTTCACCCCCAATCCCTTCCCTACCTGAGGTAAGGGCAGGACCTCACCTGTCTTGCGTGTACACGTCTCTCATCCTGCTGCAATTATTTCTCATCTCTCTGGATCCACAATTCCTAGAGCAATGCCTGATACAACACAGGCACTCAACAAATATTTGTTTAATATAATATTTAAATATTGCCCTGACTGAGTGGCTCAGTTGGAGTGTTGTCCCCTACATCAAAATGTTGTGAGTTCGGTCCCCAGTCAGGTCACATACCTAAGGTTGAGGGTTCGATCCCAGTCGGGACATGTACAGGAGGCGATTGATTAATGTCTCTCTTGCTCTCTCTCTCAAATCAATAAATATATCTTTGGATGAGGATTTTTAAAAAGTGCTTAATTATTCAGTGCTACACATACTGGTTATCAGACAATCAGTATCAATCTTATTAACCCTTAAATTTGACTTAGACAAAGGACTTTGTAAACTGTTATATGCCATTTGTGTGTAGATTACTGCTGGTATTATCACCTGACTTAGTAGCCATAACAAGGCAGAATGGCCCAATTCATTCTCATCTCTATTCTGGAAATTGACGCCTATCCATGCCCTGGTGATGGTGGAGGAAAATAGCTGGAAACGTACTACAGTGCAGAGACCAGAGTTCAGTTCCATGCAGTAGTCACTTACCAGGTCTTTACCAGGTACAAGCCCAATGCAAAACATTGAGGGCACAAAGGCACTAAGAAACAGACCCAATGCCAGAGTAATGTAATAAAGTCCATACCAATGCTCTGGGAGCAGAGGAAGGAAGGGCACAGGACCAGGACTCAGTATGTGAGATAGAAACTATCTATCCACACAGTAGCACTCCGAAGTAGGTGTATTTTCCTCACTTTACAGATGGTAAACCGAAAGCTCGTAGAGGTTAATTATCTTACCCAAAGGCTCACAGTTAATAGGAAACAGAGCCTGTATTACAACTCAGCCCCTGCAGACTTAAGAGCCTGGCTGTCTCTGAGGCATCCCCTAGCCACCATGTCCTAGTGTCACCAAAGGACAAAGCCAGGCATAACCCTCCATCAGACTACAGAGTTTTGGAAGAAAGACCTCCCTTCTCCCGATGACTGTCTGCTGTGCTCAGCCATGGGAGCAAGCACCACCCGGGGGCCCCCTATATCTAATCTGGGGCACGCATCCATGGATTAGCAGACATACTCTCCCTCCCAAATGGGATTGGAAAAATCCCCACCCAGAAATGTCTAGGGTCCTATGGTTTCTCCACCTAGCACAAGAGCAGTCAGGTCTTCAACACAACAGCAGGCAAATCCCTGGGTGGAGACCTAGCTTGGGCAGATCTGTTGTTCCCCAGCCTGGGGATTCCAGGACCTGTGCCAAATTGGAAAAGGCAAGAGAGAAAAGAGAGGTCTTTGGAAGACACAAGAGCAAGGGAAGTATTATCAGAAAGCATGACTACTGGTAGCACCCTCTCCCTTACCCTTACCCTTGCAGAAAGGGGTACATGTACCCGGTATGCAAGCCTTTGTGTGTGGCACCTTCCCATATGTGCCCCTGTGTGACTGTGTGTATGCTAAGTGCACAGAAAGTGGTGTGACTAAGTGGAAGCGCAAAGTCTCGCATGTATTTGTGTATGTAGGTGTTGCTGGTGACATAAGACTACACTCACAGAAATGCCTTTGTGCTCTGGTGGTTTTTTGTGTTTGTTTGCTTGTTTGTTTTATTAGGTGTAATATACATTCAATGAAGTATTCAAATCTAAAGTATACCACTCGATTAATTTTTACATCTATATACCCCATGTAGCCAAGACTTAGATCAAGAACTGGAAGTTTTCGAACACTACAGAAGGCTCCATTATGCTCCTTCCAATAATCTTCCTTACCTCCCCAGTGGTGACCCCTATTCTGAATTCTGTCACCATAGATTAACTTTAACATTTAAACTTTATATAAATGAAATCATACAGACAATGCTCTTTTGTGTCTAGTCTCTTTCCTTCATTATTATGTCTGAGATTCATCCATGTGTCATTGCATTTGCGTTCTTTTGTTCTTGTCCATTGTCAAATAGTATTTCATTGTATGAATATACCAGTGGTTGATGTCTTAGGGTTTTTCCAATTTTTAGCTATTATGAATGAAGCTACTACAAGCATTCATGTACAGCTTTTTTGCCAAATATATGTACTTGTTTCTCTTGGCTATAATTATTGGGTCATGGAATCATAGAATAGTCATGTGTTTAGCTTTAGAAGATTCAGCCAAACTATTTTCCAAAGCATTTCCAAACTAATTTACACTCCCACCAACAATGCATGAGAATTCCAGTTACTCCACATCCTCATCAACACTTAGTATTGCCAGCCTTTTTAATTTTAGCCATTCTGGTGTCTGTATAGAGATATTTCATTGTGGTTTGAACTTGCATTTGCCTGATGAGTAATAACATTGAGCATCTTTTGGCACTAATTGATCACTGGAGTAACTCTTTTGTGAAGTACTATTTAAGTGTTTACAGAACCACATCTGTAAAAGTGGACAAATGGTCCTGGACAGATGGCTTGGTTGGTTGGAATGTTGTCCTGAACACCAAAAGGTTGCAGGTTCAATTCCCAGTCAGGGCACTTACCTAGGTTGCAGGTTTGATCCCCGGTCAGGGTGTGTATAGGAGGAAACCAATCGATGCTTCTGTTTCTCTCTCTCTCTCTCTCTCTCTCTCTCTCTCTCTCTCTCCTCTTTTTCTAAAACAAATGAAAACATATCCTTGGGTGAGGATTTTTTAAAAAGTGGACAAATGATTGACAAAACAAACAGTAGAGCAGAATCATCTTAAGAAATTCAGCAATATACACAACAAGCCAGCAACCAGTCATTTCTACAATTGCTAATTATTTGCTACAATTAGTAAACTAGTTGTACCAGGATATATAGATGTATAACTGAATTTTATATTTTGAACCAATTATTTGGATATCACAGAGACCCTCCAACTTAGATTCAAGCAGGGAGAAGGGAATGCAAAGAACCCAGAGCCTCCCCTGGCCTGTTAACCTCAAGCTGAGAGGTTTCTCCTTCAATTCACTAACTGATTTTCCTTCACTTACAGGATCCTGATAGTGATCAACCCCTGAACGGCCTTGGTAAGCTCAGCTACCACATAGATACTAACCCCTCTTGCATGGCCCTCACTACTACCTCCAAGTGCTAAATGCTGTGGGAGACATCCATCTACCCATCCGTCCATCATTCAACAGCACTATTAAACAACTATAAGATCCAGAATTCATTCTAGAACTAGGAGGCATGGTCTCTGGGGAGAAAGGACCAACAAACCTAAAACCCCAAGGGCAATGATTCTTCAATTCACTCATTCAGTTGCTCATTCTCACATTCATTCAACAACACTGTGAGAGTCTGCCCTGTGCCAGGCCCCAGGCTGGGCCCAGGGACACAGTAGTAAATAAGACAGCCAAAGTCCTTGTCCTTGGGGAGTTTACATCTGATCATGCTGCCCATGAACAAACTGGACAAAAGTGTTTACACTGGTAGAATAGAAAATGTCAGGGTTTGTCTGATTTATGGGAAAAAAAATAAGTGAATAGAAAAAGTATTCCCAAATTTAAGGGTTTTCTTTTTCCCTCCCATTTCATTTTCTTAAACCACTGACACCTACTCCTGATAGCCTGCTGCATCAGCAAAATGAGTGGGCAGAACAAACTAGATGATCAGTAAGGAAATGACCAATCTCGCTTACTTTGACAGCTTATTTATTTCAGGGATGCAAATTAATGATCACAAATGATGTAATCTTCAGCAAGTTTTATACTTTGGAATTTCAGATATCAGTAGGCCAAAGTTTCCCTAAAGTACACCAGATGTCCTAGTGCTCCTCTACCTGGGTGGGCCTGAGAACTGCCAACCCAGAAAACAAGTTAAATTTTCTACCAGTGCCCGTGGTGAAGGGTGCTCGGAAAGGGGAGATCAGTGCCAAGTGATGAGAGATAGTGTCATGGGTCAGACAGATTTTGACAAAAGCCCTATAGGTGTACACTGTGAGAAAACAGAAGGAAGGGATGAGGGTCTCAGTGGTGGAGGGGAGAGTGGGAGCAAAAACTCAGAGGAAAGAATGAATACAGGCTGCATGAAAACAAGAAGTAAACCTGTCTACGTAGAACTGGTGGTTGACAAGGACTAGCAGGGGGAAGCCCACTTAGCTAGGAGAGTCAGGCTAAATTCCACTGGCTTTGAAAGTCCTGAGTAGAGGTGGTCCAGATATGGAGGTCATGGGGACCCCTTGAAAGTTCTGGAGCAGGGAAGTGATGAGATGAAAATCTGGCAGCATTGGGCAGGACTGGCTACAGGAAGGAACAGTGGCAGTAAGGAAGGCTATTCATAGTGCAGAGGGTTCATTAACTTAAACCAAGTATGAGACAATATACCAGGAACTTCATGATGATGTTCTCCCTGAGAACATCAGAAAGGCAGAGACATTAGGCCCTAGACACGGGAACTTGTCAAGGGGCTCCCAAAAGGTCATTGATCTTTGAGAAAACGAGTCAACCTTTTGTCCCCAGAGGCAGGTGCTCAATAAATAAATCATGCATGCATGAATGAATAAAATGTCACTGTGTTCATCGCCACAAAAATGAGGACAGTTTTGAACACTGACTGCTGGAACTTTAAAAGCAATATCTGCTAACTTTATTGGTAACCTACTATATGCCAGGTTCTGATAACAACAGGCAATGCCAGCCCACACCCTCAGGGTCTGCGCTCTGTATCTGAGGTTTAAATTCTCCATTTGGAGAAAACACAAAATTCTCTATGCTTTCCCTATCAGCAGGTTCAATAATATCAGTACTTATTGGGCACTGGGCTCTGAAAGGGTACCATTCCCTGATTGTGAAGAGCTGAGGAAAGAGATAGAGACAGACATAACTAACCATCATGATTAAAGGCAGAATAAAATCAGACCTGTAAGAAAGATGGAAGGGATGTGCTTAGGAGAATAAGCAAAGAATAATTCCTTTATCCATTCAACAAATATTCATTGAATGTCTATTGCAAACCAGGCACTGTTCTAGACACCAGGGAGTTGGCAGTGAACAGAACAGAGAAAAATCCCTATCTTCATGGAGTCTTCATGTCAGGCAGGAATGGGAGGGTATAGAAAAGATACAAAATAGGTAAAATATACAGTATATTAGAGGCGATATGTGTTTTGGGAAAGAAAAAAAAAAACAGAAGGAGGACAGGAAATGTTGGAAGATTGCCTTTTCCAACATTTCCAAATAGGGAAGTCAAGGAAGACCTGATAGAGAAGGTGGCATTTGAAGAACAATTTGGAAGAAGTGAGGAAGCAAGCCATGTGGAAGTGACCAGGAAGAGAGCCTACCTACTGCTTTCTAGGGATTCTCAGTCTTCCTGTGACTCGTGCCTCAGTTCCCCCTGGAAAAGTCCTCGTGGCACCTCCCCAGCTTATTACCTGCAAGAAGAGGGGACACAGATAGGGACACTGAGATAGGAGAACCTATCTCTCTCTCTGATGCTTCCTGAGCTTTTACCATCTCTGTGGATAACGTGTGAAATAAACAATGCAGTTAGTATGGCCTCTGCTTTAAGTATCAGTGAGCTCCCACCTGGTCTCCCGGGTCCCAGACTCTTGTTTCAGTCCATCTCCTCACTGATGAAAGATGCATCTTGCTAAATATTGACATGATCACGTGTTTCTGTTGCTCATAGCTTTCCAGGGCTCCTCACTGTCTTCAGGATAAAATCCAAACTGCTAGCGTTTTATTCAAGACTCTACCAACTGACTTTGCCAGTCCTGCCTTCACAAATGCTGTCACCCACCTCACATCCCAGGCCCACCAGGAGCTCATCATCCCTACCTCAAGGTCTTTGTCAGTTGGTCTAGCTCCTCCTTCTCCCACCTCCACCTACAGAGGCCCATTTAAGTGCTTTAAAGTGTCCACAGTGGTATTGTCAATTGTGTCTCTGTTTGCCTATCCCCCCAAAATGTAATCTCCTTAAAGACAGGGACCATTCTAGAGACTTGCTGGATTTTGAATTGAATTGGAGATGCACTCATTCACAGGTATTTAAATCTCTACTAAGCACATAATGTAATAGAGGCTCTTGCCTCCTTGAGCTTACAGTTAAATCAAAAGATAAGCCAGGAAATAAGGTAAATGATAGTAAAATGAATGGGTCATGCCTCTCTAGGGCAGAGGCAGGTCAGATGGACAGGGTGAAACATCCTTAAACATAATAAGATAAGACAAGGATAAAAGCACCATGGTCTGGAGGCTCCTTTGAAAGGCTCTTATGAAATGGATAAGCCTGGGTAGTGCAAGGAGGTGACCGTGTGATGATGAAGCTAAGCTTACTCTGAAGGAGCAAACCCCACAACGCTAACTAAAACTCTCCCTAAAGCAATTTTGTGGCTCAGCGCCAGGGGCCAGAGGCCGCAGAGACTGTGCGCCTTGGAAGAGCCTGTGGAGGTCTCCAAGTGCTCTCCACAGGCTCTTCCCCTCCACTTCACAGATGTTACCCCTCTGCGCAAACCCCGCACTTCCCTGGAGACCTTCAAAAAAGTGAGGATCCCCATCATCGCAGCACTGCTGAGCCTGGCAATCATCATCATCGCAGCTGTCCTCAGTAAGTGGCAACCCCTACCCCCACCTTCACACATTCATTAATGCCTCCACCTACACCTTCACCCCACAGTAAGTGGCATCTCCCATGCACCCCTCCTCTATCCTCACCTCAGAGTGACACCTTCACCTTCCACCCTTCTACCCCATCAGAGTCACTGGCTGGTGTTCTCCTTAGTGCTTTGTATCCACATGTATATATCCTCTGCTTTGGAGGGAGCTTCCTCTAAGAAAGGAGAAGATGAACTCAGCCCCCATCTATCCCAGATGATTTTTTTCTATAGAGAAAGCACAGTTGCATATGTTATGAACCTACACAGGTCATTTTCAGGGGCAGCCATGCCCCTTGCTTCCTCCGTGCCATGTCTGCAGACTGGGAGCTGAGTGGATCTGAGCAGCCATACTGGCTAGAAAAGCAGGGAGCATTTATGCTCACGAGGAGGGGATAAAAAAAGAGAGGAGGCATCAGGGGCCACTCAGATAGCGCCCCTTCCCACCTTTAGCTCTGTCTTCATCAGGGTCAGTGCCTGGGACCCCATGTGATCTTGAGTAGGCCACTCTGTGACAGAAAAAAGTAAAGTGAATGAGGAGGGATTCCCACAGTCCCCCGCTTTCAGCGCCCACATCCTGTGATTAAATCCTTGCCTTCACCTCCCCCCATAGTCATAGCAGGTCACTGCCCACAGCTTCACACAGCAGGTAAAGAAGAAGGGATCAGACTAGGAAATACCTGGGACAAGGAACCTGGCACTGTCATTTACAACTGTGTAACCTTGAGTAAGTTCCTCAACCTCTCTTAACCTTGGTCTTCTCACCTATAAAATGTCCTGCCTCCTTCAGAAGGGCATCAGAGAATCAGTGAGATCATGTGTGTGAAGTACCTGGATAAAAACCAGGTTGTGCAGAAGTGTGGGCCATTGTGCAGTGTCCAGAGATGTAAACGAGGTCACATACTTGTCAACTGGCCAGAATGGGCTTTTCAGGAGCCTGCACTTGTAACTATGGTGGTAGTTCCACCAGCCACAGCCACCACCTCACTGAGGACACTCAGAAATAATCTGGTCCAACACCTCACTCTCCACTTTAGCACGTTGGCTCAGAGAGGAGGCATGGGAGCTGTGGACAGCTGAGACAGGCCCCCAAACCCCCATTTGAGCATGTCCATTTCCACCTGTGGTGACAGAAATACAGATCCAGAAATCCAGAAATCAGAAATACATAACACAAACACCACCTGATCCCTGAAAGTCCTGCCGGGCATGAGATGCAGAGGACCCCAAATCCTTTCTTTTTAACCGTGGCTGGTATGGTTGACCAAAGTGGTAATGCATTTGCAGCAGCAGTAGCAGACTTGCCATCCTAAGCCTGTTTTGTTCAGACTAATATTAAAACGAGCTTCCTTTCTGAGTGTGTGCCCCACCACAGTGGAGAACGAAGTTCCAAATTCACCCACAGGAAGCCAATGCAGATCTAGTCCATAATTTAGAATTGAGCTCTCCCAGTGTGGCTTCCATGCCATAAGCCCCCCTCCCCGGGTTTGACAACCAGAGGAGGTAGTGTGAGCTCCCTGCCTGGGCTAGGCTCCCTTAACTATTGGCTTCTAGGGTCTCAACTGGTGGCATTCTGTCCTGGCTTTGTCTCAGGAGGCTAGAGTGACTCTGCCTTACCCAGGCTCCTGACCATGAACTTAAATCTGAAGGTCTAGGAAATATTTGACCTGCTCCTTCTCCCTTGCTTCACTCAAACCAGGAGAATCAGGGCCAGCAGGTAACATCCTGAGATCCCTCAGGGAAAATGTAAAGAGACAGCAAAGAGGTTTGAAGCTAGACAGACCCTAATTGAAATCCTGGTTCTACCACGTAAGTGCTGTGTGGCATTAGGAAATAAACCCTAAATCTCTAACCTCAGTTTCCTGATTTCTAATGCACATTAATAATGGTACATGTCTTCTAAAGTTGTGGTCAGGATTATGTGAGGATCACAGAAAGCTCTTTGCAGTGATAAGGGTTGGGAGGGGGCATCATCAGACTTATTGCCACCACTCTTGGGGCCAGCTGGGAGTGATGCTGGACTACAGAGGAAAGCTTCAGGCCAGGGAGAGTTCAGGGAGGCAAGAGGAGCACTTCCTGCCAGGAGAGTTTAAAGCAGTGTTGAGATTTGTATTCCCTGAGGAGTTAAAAACACTAGACTCATTGCCGTCACCCAAGACAGAAGAGAAGCAACAGAATTTGAAGACAGCAGGCAGAAGACAAAACAAAACACCAACCTCTCAGTGAGTCTTTCCACCCCACATAAAAACACCTAATCCTAGAACTGCACTTGATAGTTATGAGCCACTTTCACAACCACCAGCTCACCAAATGTTCTCAATAATCGTGTGAGGTGGTGTTAACATCTCACTGTACAGATGAGGAAACTGAGCCCCAAAAAGGGTAAGAGATTGATCTAAAATCACCCAGTAGGTGGCAAAGCCAGCATTCAGGTCTTCAGACTCCAGATCCAGTGTGTCTCCCCCGTCATCAAAGGTACTGTGCCAGCACCTGGGGGTGAGACCCTGGGGCAGGGGACTGTTACCAGATGGCTCCCACACACATTATCTCTCTTAATTCCTCAGCTACCTTTGGGAACAAGACAGGTTTTATTATCTCAAGTTTACAGATAAAAAACTGAGGCTCAGGACCAAGTATACCAGCTACTACATGGCATAACTGGGCCCAGAACCAATATCTACCTGCCTCCAATATCTTCAGGAAAACACAGCCCCTTCTGCCCCCAGCTGCCTGCTTGATCCTGTCTTCTATGTCCCTCTCTGCCCTTGCCTTCCAGTCAAGGCCATCCTGGACAACTACTACTTCCTCTGTGGGAAGCCCTTCTACTTCATCCCCAGGAGGCAGGTGTGTGACGGCCAGCAAGACTGTGCCTCAGGGGAAGATGAGCAGTACTGCGTCAAGAACTTCCCTGACGAAGGGCCTCCAGTGGCAGGTGGGTCCAGGGGCTGAGGAACCAGGTAAGCGGGCTCGGCAGAAAGTCAGCTCAGGTTCTACTGTTCCACTGCATAGCACCTGCCACCTGACTGTTTCCATCCCTAATGTAAGGTTCTTTTTTTTAAATCATGTTTATTCCATTAGAGTTGTCTCAATTTTTCCCCCTTTGCCCTCCCCACCCATCCCACCCCACCCCCCCACAGTCAATTCCCACTCTGTTGTCCATCTCCATGGGTCATTCATACATGTTCTTTGTTTAGTTCCTTCTCCTTCTTTTCACCATTGTCCTCCTTCCCCATCCCCTCTGGTCACTTTCAGTCTGTACCAAGTTTCCATGCGTGTGGTTTATTTTGTTGAATAGATTTAATTCATAGGTGAGATCATATGGTATTTATCTTTCATTGACTGGCTTATTTCACTTAGCATAATATTCTCCAGTTCCATACATGTTGTTGCAAAAGGTAGGAGTTCCTTCTTTCTTTCTTTCTTTCTTTCTTTTTTTTTAGTGCAGATTGATTTTATTTATTTTTTTAAATGTTAAGATCCATTATAAAATATTTAAAAATTTAAATCCATTATAAAGTCTCAGTAATCATGACAGCTGCACAGAAATAATCAAGTAGGTCAATGAAATAAAATGAGCATTGTAGAAACAAATGTATATATCTAACAATGTAATGTATGATTAAATTGATATTTCAAATCAATGGGGAAAGTGAGCCTTATTCAACAAATAAGGTGCATGGACCACTTGAAATTACTTATTTATTACTTGAAATAAAACAAATATAGAGCCCTACTTCGCACATTATACAAAAAAATATTCAGGTGAGTTAAAAGTCAATATAAAAAATCTAAGGAATTTTTGGAGAAAATACAAAATAATATTTTTCTTACCCTGAAGTAACATATTCAAATCCAGAAGCTATAAAGTAAAATATTGACAATATGACTATATTAAACATTTAAAACTATACAGTAATATACATATAAAAAAATTGAAGGACAAGTGATAGAATAGGAAACTATTTGCAACACATCTAAAAAAGGGATAATAGTTTGTGTTTTTTATTTTTTAGGGGAAAAAATTCTATGAACATTTAATCAAAAAATGGATAAAGAATACCAAAAAGTCATTTAAAGCTTTTTTTAAAAATAAGAGAAATAGGCAAGAAATATACAAGAACAGGTTAGTTTCAACAAATAATAAAGTAACAAAATAACACATCATTGTCACAATCAGATTAATAAGTATTAAAAATATTGGTAATATCAAGTGATATTGGTGACTGTGAAAGGAACCAGGTTTTCATAGACTCTTTTTTTTTTCTTCTTAAATCCGTCCCTTTAGCATATTTTGGAATGCTGGTTTGGTGGAGGTGTATTCTTTTAGCCTTCTTTTGTCTGGAAAACTCCTTACTTTGCCTTCCATTTTAATGGAGAACCTTGCTGAGTAGAGCAGTCTTGGTTTCAGACCTTTGCTTTTCATTATTTGAAATATTTCTTGCCATTTCCTCTGGCTTCAGGTGTTTCTGTTGAGAAGTCAGCTGCTAGCTGCGTAGCTCCCTTATATCTTACTACCTGTTTTTCCCTTGCTGCCTCTAGGATTCTCTATTTGTCTTTGATATTTGCCATTTTAATTATGATTGGGCCTCATTGAGTTCCTCTTGAATGGGACCCTCCGTGCCTCCTGGACTTGTGTGACTTTTTCCTCCAATGAGGGAAGTTTTCCATCATTACTTTTTCAAACAGGATCTCTATCACTTGTTCCTCTTCTTCTCCTTCTGGTATCCCTATTATATGGACATTATTACATTTTGGGTTGTCCTGCATTTCCCTAAATGCCTCTTCTTCTTTTTTTTTTTTTTTTTTGTCTTTTTTTCTTTTCTTGCTCTTTCAGGGAGCTTTTTTCTACCTCGTCCTCCAGCTCGCTGATTCGGTCCTCAGCTTCATCTAGCCTGCTTTTGATATGTTCTTCAATTCAGAAACTGTATTCTTCATTTCTTCATTTCCTCTTGTCTCTTATTGATAGTTTCTATGTCATTTTTCATGCTGATATAGTTTGCAGTAAGTTTCTCGTAGTTTCCCTGTAGTTTTTTGTAATTCTCTCTGAGCTCACTGAGCTCATTGAGCTTCCTTAGAACCATTGTTTGGAACTCAATATCTGATAGTTTACTTGGCTCTATTTCATTTAGTTCCCCTTGTGGGGATTGCTCCTTTCCCTTTGAGTAGGGGGTATTTCTTTGTCTTCCCATTATTTGTGAGACTCTTCTTTTTTGCTTCTGCTTCTTAAGTTGATCTGTCTTGATTTCCTGACTTTGTGGTATGGACTTCTATGGTAGGAGACCGCTGTTTTTCTTTCTGGGTCTGCCTCTGATGATGTCAGATGTTGGCCCTGTCTGACCTAAGACAGTCAGTTCAAGACTTCTAGTAATCTATTGTCTGTGGCTGTCTCCTTCAACTGTTAATCTAGTAACTCTGCACTCAGCAGGCCAGCTTAGAGACACTAAGGGTGGGGCAGAGTCCCTCCTAGGGGTAGGGTTGTTGGGTCCTCTCACTCTACCACCACTCAGGGGCGTGGTCTGCCTGAGCCAGATGGCTGCTGCCATACAGGGAGTCAGCACTGGAATCCCGCCAGCTACTCTCTCAGTTCTCTCCCCAAAGCCTCCTTCCCCAGTCTCTCCTCAGGTGTCTCCAGCCCACTCCGCCCCCCGCATTTGTCAGAGCCCAGGGTAAGTGGCTGCAAATAAAAATTTATGTGTTGGCCCTTTAAACAGCTCTTTGCGTCTCCAGCCTCCTGTCTCTGGCAGAGAGCAACGCTGCCACTTTTCACAGCTGGCTGTTATCTGTGTACTTTTTAGGCTCTCGTGCTGGAGGCTGGAGATCCCCACTTATGGTTTAGACCTCACTCATCTCAGGGGGATCCAATTAGCCGTTTCAACATCCTTCTGGTGCTGCCACCCGTTGCTAAAGCAGGTGCTGCCTGCTCGAGTCTCTACCACACTCCTTACCAGCTAGGTTGTGCTAAAGCTGATTTTTCTGTCTGTCCGAGGTTATCAGGCTCCTCTCTTGCTATTGTTCAGTTGTTTGTTCCAGGTGATTTCTCCACAATTTAGTTTTAATTCCAGGTTGGTCAGGGGAGGAGGTCAGTGTGACTTCCACTCACTCCTCTGCCATTTTGATTCTCCTCCCTAATATAAGCTTCTTGACAACAAGACCACATCTCGTTCACTAGATCCCAGTACTTAGTATGCAGCAAATGCTCAGTAAATATTTGGTGAACAAATGTGGACCAAAGGAAACAGAAAATTATAACTGAGTCTGCGCGTTTCTGCTGTGCCTGGGTGAAACTGAGGCAGAGAGTTGGATTAGATGACCTTGACGAGTTCCTTCCTGTCTGTTATGTCAAGAAGACCAGAAAATATAGGAAGGCCACTAATTATCTATTGATCTTTCTAGTCATTGGGTAAGTATTTACTGTAACATGCTATATAACAAGACTGGGCTTGGTCCTTCAAAGAAATATGAGATATTTAAACATAAACACCCATGTTCTTTCTTGGATTTAGCTAGCCCCACTTGATCCACCTAGCATCTGGGCTCTGGAAAAAAAAAAAAAAAAGACAGCCCAGGCTATGGGTGAGAGGGGCTTCTGAAGAGAAGGGCTGAGTGACTTCTTGCATATTTGCTTTTTCTTTTTAAATCAGATGTCAAACGCCTAAGGGTACCTGCCACTCTACTGCCAATAGTACTTCTCACTCAACCTCTCCCATCTACCCTGACACAGAGAAGGGGCAGGCCACTCACTGAGACGTTTCCCCCAGCCATGAAAACTGTGTGAACTGTGGGTAAGGGCCATGAGAACAAAAGGAGGAGTTATTAATAACTATGCCAGAGCAACAAGTCAAAATGAAGGATAACCCCAGGACATTTGGTCACCCTAGCTACTGTCAACACAAGGCTCAATCAAGTGAAGTCAAATGGAGGAGCTACCCTTGAGGTTAAAAGGGTCGATGTTCTGCGATGCTCCCCAGTTCTGAGTAGGGAGAACTCAGCTGGTCTCATGAGGAATTCTGAGGGAAATGGGCCAGATGGGCCCCTGCAGCTGACCCAGTTTCCTCCCCTTCCAGTCCGCCTCTCCAGAGACCGATCCACCCTTCAGGTGCTGGACCCAGCCACAAGGAACTGGGCCTCTGTCTGTTTCAACAACTTCACAGAAGCTCTGGCCCAGACAGCCTGTGGACAGATGGGCTTTGACAGGTACCCAGCCCAAACCTCTGGAGGCAGTTACCTCACCCCTGGGACCTCTCTCCTTTACAGTATTCCTTCCTCTTTTGCCCTTCTTCCCCATTTCCTTCTTTCCTAAAAATATAGGTGTGGGCATCAGTCAAAATTGTTTTAATCCCAGCACTTTCACTTACAAAGTAACGTGAAGTTCAGTCTCTAAAACCTCATTTTGCTGAAGAGTTAACTGGGAAAATAATGCCAGCTTCATAGGGTATATATGAGGTGCCAGTGACAGAATGTGTGCTCCCGCCCCCACACACACACACAAGTTCACCTCCTTTGTAATCCTTTCCTTCCTTTCCTCCCCACTCCCCATTTCTTATATTAACACGATGCATCCCTGCCCCAGAAGATGAAAATCTTGTTGGTTAAAATTTGATTTAAACAAACCTGATTTCCTTGGGGTTCCATCAGCAATCCCAGCCCTCTCGGCAAATTCAAAAGCAGTTCCAGATCTTTAATGATGAAGATGTATCTAATTATAATAAAGTTAATTAGCATTATGTATTTATATTCATTTGATCTTGGCAAAAATAAAAAGTGTAGTTATCTATTTTAGTAATAAGTTTGGAAAAAGAAAGTAATTTCTTTGGGCACTAGCTGGGAGAGAGAGGGCTGGAATTTGTGCCCAAGACCCCTAATTCCTGGGCATTAGGAGTTCTAGGAGCATTTCTGTTTCTACTTTGGATCATTCTCTTTTACCCTAAGGTTTCATGTATAAAAGGAGTAGGAGGGACAGTTGATCACTCAGAGAGCCTAACTGGAGAGGATGGGGAAAATTCCATGTATTCAGTTGCAGGGTGGTATAATCTCTCCCTGGCAGGCCCCAAATTTCATAAATCCAGGAAACTGCACCCAGAGACTAGGCAGAAAAAAATAAATGCTAAGCAGACACCATCAATCAATCATAGAATTCTACCATCAATCCCTAAAGCAGCTTCAAGGTTCTCTTCAGTAAATTCTCCAGGCAGCCATTATTAATCCATCAGACCTGTTTGCCCACTGCTCTCTGGCAGTCCAGATTCTGCTGCTCTCTACCCTTCATGGGGTGCAACTCCCAGCACCCTCTGGAGAGGACAGCCTGCCTTCATTTTCGAGGACAGCTGGGAAGGCTTGCCCTGCCCCTGCTATATTCTCCCCTTCTCCTGTAGCCACCCCTCCTCCATGCTACCATCCAGCCAATTGCAGAATCAGCTGTACCCGGCAAGCAGGCTGTGGCTTGATCATGAAAATAGGGTGTCCCTAAGAGCTCTTAAGGTAATAGCCTCCTGGAATCTGTTCTCCTGGAGCTCCAAACCACCTGGCTCTTGAACTCCTACAAAATCAAAGCTGGTCAGAAGTATTCATCAGGATGTAATCAGTGAATGGAGGTTAACTTTTCTGGGACTTTCCACTTCTATCTGGGTTTCAGATTTCTCTATTTTTCTTCTTCCAGCTGCATAAGAGGTCCTTCTTGTCCCAGCACCACAAAACCCTAGATGGTGAGAAGTGGGGGGGACTCCAGAGATCATCTGGTCCACCTGTCGTTTTACAGAAGGGGAAAGTGAGGCTTAGAGAGACCCAGAGAAAGGGTGTAACCTGTCAGGCTAGTGTTAGATCCAGGACAAGCACCTAGATCTTGAGGGCTCTTAACACAAACCTGAGTACTGCTAGGCTCCAGCCGTCCCAGATGTAGTCCACCAAGCAGCACCAAATTCCTGGCTGGAAGTGTGAGAATTATCATTCAACCAGTGCCATGGGTTGGTCTGAGCCCTGTATGCAGAGCTTGTCCTAGTGTGACTGGATAAGGAAAGATGCAAGAGATGGGAAAGAGTACAGGAACAATTGGAAAGATAGGATTAATCATGGAAGTCTTCCTGGAGGAGGAAGACTTAAACCCAATGTTTGAAAGGAGATAAACATGGATTAGCAGAAAATAAAAATGAGGGTGGTCCAAGTGAGAGAAATGTTTATCTGGACTCATGTGAAGACTGATCTCATCCTGTCATAATCTCCTAGTGGACAGTAAATGTACCTCCACTACCAAATTCAGAGTTCATGCCTTCGAGAACCAAATATCCACATTCCAGCTCCCTCCAAGATAAAGGAGAGCTAACCTGGGTTCTTCCTGGGTACCTTTGCCTCCTTGTTTCCCTTGCTGTGAAACAGAAGAAACTGCTGGGACATTTGAAATAGGGAAAGAGCTGGGAAAGTGTGTCCCTAAAACTTCTCCAAAGCTCTGGGTCCTGGATTAAGCCTCCCTTCCCAAGTATGCAAGACCATGACAACATCATGCCCAGAGTTGAATCCTGGGGTGCAAAGGGAAGGTCTCGTCATATAGAAAAGCAGGCACCACCCTCACTGACAAATAGCACTTCCACTTCCCTGCTATGCCCCACCATTCACAGGGCAGGATAATCTCTCCCTGGCAGGCCCCAAATTTCATGAATCTAAGAAACTGCACCCAGAGACAAGGCAGAAAATAATAAATGCTAAGCAGACACCATCAATCAATCACAGAACTCTCCCATCCATCCCTAAAGCAGCTTCAAACTTCTCTTCAGTAAATGCTCCAGGCAGCCATTACTGATCCATCATACCTGTTTGCCCATCCTCTGCCACCCTCTCTCCTGAGTGTGGGCTAGTCTCACTATCTTGTTCTAAGCTCCTGCCCTAACTCATATATATATCTCTCTCTCTCTCTCTCTCTCTCTCTCTCTCTCTCTCTCTCTCTCTCTCTCCTCTCTCTCTCTTTCTCTCTCTCTCCTGACATGAGCAGCAAACCCACTTTCAGAGCTGTAAAGATTGGCCCAGACCAAGATCTAGATGTTGTTGAAATCACAGCAAACAGCCAGGAGCTTCAGGTGCAAAATTCAAGTGGGTAAGTGAGAGGATGTCCTCTGTCCCACACATGGTGGTGCCCTCAGGGCTGTAGCCAGCCCACCCTGAACAGATGCAGCAAGGGCAATGTAAGCCAGACAACAGGTAGAACTCCTGGCCAGGCAGACTGTTAGACACCAAGAGTGAAGAATCACATTTCTAGGAGATTTCTTGTGTGTTGACTCTTTTTTTAATACAATGGACAGCTGGACAAAGTATGCTGTCCACACCTTGGTGGCCTTTCTACCAGTTGAAGAGCAAAACTATTTATTTTTCTACTGCTTTATGTTCCTTATTAAGCCCAACAGGGAGCAATCCAAAGGCTTCTTTGTCCTTCCCTGCCACTCACCCATGCCACAGTAAGACCTCTCCACGCTCCCAACTCTCTGGAGCAGAGACTACAGACGTTTGTCTTTGATCTATTCCTATGCCTCACTACCCTGAATTAGAGCATGATATCTAAATGAAAACTGTCACCTGCAGCAGAGTGGCTCAGAGAGGATGCTGGCTGGCTTCTTAGCATTCAGGGATGTGGCTGAGTACTGCTTATTTATCAAAGAGTAAATCTTGAAAAGGATGGGGATAGGAGCAGAATGATCATTTGTCTGTTATTCCATTGAAATCCCATTCTTCTGTTTGGCAAGCCTGCAAAGCAGCAGACACTGCTCCAGGCTCTACTTTCTTCCATCTCAGACTACCAAGAGCCCACCTTGGGCTCTGATTCAGTCAGGACCCAGCACAGTGTAGATGCTTGTCACTGGGGGTGTTAAATCCAAGCAAATTAAATCAAACTAAATTGAGTGGTGATACAGCTTCTATACAGCCCCCCTATGCAGATTCCATATTTCCCAGGTTGGGAGGGGACTTGACTCAGTACTGCCAGAAGATCTGAGTTCCTGCCTCCCAGCCAAGGGAGGAGCAGAAAACACAGGGCCCTGTGTCTCCCTTCTAGACCCTGTCTCTCAGGCTCCCTGGTTTCCCTGCACTGCCTTGGTGAGTATGCCCCAGCTCTGAGGGTTTGGATCCTGGGCTAGCAATGAGCATGAAGAGAGACCTTCACCCACATTCCTAAATCTCTCAGACTCCACGTTTCACTCTGTTTTTGTCCCAGCCTTACTTCTTTGGGCCTTGGGCTTGTAGGTCAATGCTCTTTCAGGTGACCGATATTAAAGAACTTCCTCCTACCATCCACATATAGCTCCACAATCTGAGTGGAGACCTGGGAGACGGAGTAGGAAAACTGGAAAGGGTAGGACTGGGCCCCTACCCTTCTTGTTCCTGGTCAGGGCCCACATAACTTCCTTTGTCACAGTCAGCTCAGTTATCTAATATTGGGTTATCCACATTCAGTTTAGCAAAGAGTCAGCTTGTTTCTAGTCCTCTCAGGTGCTGGTTGGAAATAGAAAAGTAAAAGAACTGGCCACTCTCCTCAGGAGGTAATAACTAAGCAAAGAGAGAGATGGAAGGTCACATGTGGAAAGTACAAAACTGAGAGAAGTCATAGCTGACATGCTAAAGAGAGAGCTGCACAGTGGGTCAGTAGACCTGAGCACCAGTCCTACTGGCTTCCAGTGTGACCTTGAGTAGTTCACTTGACCTCTCTGAGGTTAATTTTCCCAAGAAGCCCTTTAGCCCAGCTGCCCAAGAGGATGCCAGGAGCCTCCCGTCCCCAACCCTAACAGAAGAGATCAGAAGAGAAAACAGGTATTGTGGCCCAGCTCACTATACCAGCCTCATGGGAGAAGTACTGAGCAAAGCCCAGAAGAATGAATGGAAACTAGACAGCCAGAGAAGAGAAAGGCCATCATCACTGCCTTTCTAGTTCAGCAGTGTATGTGTTTCCTTGTTGGAAATTAAGACTTTTAGTCATCATCGTGTGACTACCCACAATAGCCAGGATGTGGGGACTAACACATGGTGACTAGTGAAAGAATGAATGAATGAACAGTCACATCATCTGATGTGCTGAGCTGAATAGCGCTGAAGTTACAAAGAAGCTTAAGTCACAGATGCTCCCGTGAGGAGCCTTAGGTCTCACAGAGAAGATAAGACAGAAGCATGACAACAATGAAAGGCTGGCCAACACACAGGGCAGACTATAGTAAGTCCAAGAGAGGGAACTCCCCAAGGAATGGATAGCTGGGAGGTGGTGCCCAGGATAAATATTGAAGAATGAGCTGGAGGCTTCAGGAGGAGAGGGATCATGTCTCTTTTTCTGTCTTCTCCATCATTCCCTTCTTAACATCCCTGAGAGACGGTAGGCACTCACTACAAACTTGCTGAATGAATCAATGATTTAGATAAACAGAAGAGGAGATAGTATCTCATAGACAGGGGCTTTCTTGAACAAAAACAGAATGACTTTTTAGGGACTTTAGGGAGATTGATTTGGCTAAATGGAAACTTTATGTAAGGACAGCAAGAGGCTGCCAGGAGGAGTTTAAACTCTACCCTACAAACAAAGAGGGGTGCTAAGGGACTTTGAATGAGTGAGTGAGGTAACATGTAGAAAGCACTGTTTGGAATTCAATGGTGTTGGTCAAGTCCCTGGCTAGCATAGGCCCAAAATGGGTGGTAGCATTTCTCCTTTAGAAGCCATAGGGCAGTGACTGCCAGAGGATTGAAGAGGCTGAGAACAGAGCAGGGAGATGGAACTGGAGGTTTTTATAAGATCTCAAGAGTCAGATGTGAAAGCCAGGACAGTAAGATGTGAAAGAGAATAGGATGTCAAATTGGGAGACTCACTCAGCAGGGGGAAATAGGCTTGGAGAAAGGTGACTTTAGGATGGGAAGAACCAGTTTTTGAAACTTTCTTCCCACTTCTGACTCCCAAAGCAGCCTGTGGGTGTCTGTGTGCTGTTACCCAGTGGGAGTGGCCGGGGGACACTCCACCTGGGTGAGACTTTCATAATTCCGCATCACCGTTTAGTTTGAAGGTCATAAATTCTCAGCACAATGGACATACCTATGGTCACAATATAAACTCCTAAGCACATCCAAAGCTGAAAAGAAAGAAGACTAGGGGAAAGCCCGTGGTTTAGGCTTTCCTATGAATCATTCAAAATTGACCTGATCCTTTTCACCACCAGCCCCATTCATAACAGTCTGCTCAGGATAGACTTTGGGCTCTAAGGAGAGGCAGCCCTATCTCTCAAGAGCCTGACTCCTACTTTCTCCCTCCTTCCTGCTGAGCCCAGCCTGTGGGAAGAGCCTGAAGGCCCCTCGGGTGGTGGGAGGGGAGAAGGCCTCTGTGGATTCTTGGCCTTGGCAGGTCAGCATCCAGTACAATAAACAACACATCTGTGGAGGGAGCATCCTGGACCCTCACTGGATCCTCACAGCAGCCCACTGTTTCAGGTAAGGCTCGCTCTGCAAAGAGGCCTTGTGGGAGCCAAAACCATGGAGGAGCCCTGACTGGTGTCACTCACTGGGTTGGGCATCATTCCACAAGGCAAAAGATCACCAGTTCAGTTCCTAGTCAGGGCACATGCATGGGTTGCAAGTTCCGTCCCCAGTTGGGGCACATGCAAGAGGCAGCCGATTGATGTTTCTCACTTCAATGTTTCTCTCCCTCTTTCTCCCTCCCTTCCCCTCTCTCTAAAAATAAATAAATAAAATATATTTTAAAAAAATAAAGAAACCATGGAGGGGCCTGAGTGCCTGGCTCCCTATCTCCTGACTTGTGTTCTGTGGCCCTCACTCTCCCTTACTCTGCCCTTAAAAACTATGTCCTAGGTTGTGGTCACCCCAATAAGATGATAGACATAATATCCCCCTAACTGTGGGGGGTCTGAGCAGAGGATGGTGGCCACCAAGCTTGACCTGTTCCAAGTTAGGAGCCATCAGAAATCCAGTGTCCTCAGTCCACTCCATATCATTTACTTCACAAAACTCTTCCCGTATGTCTGAGAACTCTCTCCCTCTTTGCTAGTCTTCCAGGAAGTATTTCTAGGGTCTAGAGTCATTGCCACTCCCTTGCTGTGTCCAGAAATTTAAGGAAAAAAAAGTATAGATTTCCTTACAGGCCAGCAGAGAGAGTTCCGCCCCCTCTCCTGGGGAAGGACCACTTCTAGACCTTCTTTACTTTTATTCATTCATTTGGGGAACATCTGATGAGCCCTACTAGGGACCAAGTATTATATTATTAGGGTCGTTGCTGCCTTAGAGGAACTCACAGTCTAGGCCAATGATTCTTAACCTTTTTGAGAATCTGACAAAAGCTATAAACCTTTCCTGGAAAACCATCTGGTGTTGGAAGGAAGAAAGACAAGTACATAACATAAGTGGTCACAATGCAAGTACTGCATGAGTGCCAATGATAATGAACAACATTGCAGAAGATAGTGCCAAGTCACCAGAGCTCAGGCACTGGGAATAGCCCCTTCCAAAGACCTCCAATTAGAAGTTTTCTTGAGCAGGTTTCACTGGGGAAAAAGGATCGAATCCTCTTTTAGAATTTGATCTATAGTGGATGATTCCTCAGACTGTCCCCTCTCCACCACCCTGCCTATACCATTATTACCTCTTAAGGCAGGGACATCCAGCACCCCAACCCCCAGGGACCTGGGGACCAAACCTTTGGCAAAGCCTACTCATACTTGGCTCAATCCCTAACCCCACTGTCTCTGCCCCCAGGAAACATCTTGATGTGTCTAACTGGAAGGTGAGGGCTGGCTCAGATAAAATGGGCAACTTTCCATCCCTGCCTGTGACCAAGATCTTTGTCACTGAGCTCAACACCACATATCCCAAAGAGAAAGACATTGCTCTTGTGAAGCTTCAGTACCCACTCACATTCTCAGGTAAGAAGTGGCACCTGGAAACAGAGCCCCTTAGGTTAGGTCATATTCCCTCTCTGCCACTAGCTCATTAAGTGTCCTTGAGCTCATTACTTCTCCTCTCAAGACCTCAGTTGCCCATTTGTTTCCAGCAAATATACCAGCCTAACACCACGAATGCTAAACACCTCCTCCAGCTGTTAGCTGACATCCCACCCCATCCCCTGCCAGAGCTTCTGAGGTCTACTGTTCTCTCCATGTAGAGCATCTTAAGTGAGGACCATAAATTCATCCAGTCTTGGAGCTGTGAGATCATCTAGTCCACCCTCCACCACTGAACATTGCCAAGAACCTGCACAGTATCCTGCCAAGCAGTCACTGTACCCATTTACTCTCCTGCAGGGTCATGGAACTCACCACATTAAGGCAGCGCATAGAATCTTGGAACATCTCTGGTAGCTGGCTCATGCTTATATTGTATTTAGACCAGTATTTCCAAATGTTGGTTCTTGGGGAAAAGAAGGTTCTATTCTCAAATAAATTTGGAAAATATTTTTATACTTTAGCTCTCTTTTATGGAGCACATTAGTATATTAAAGATGTGAGAATTTTTAATTTTTAAAAGAATTGGTTTTATGGTGCTTAACCCACATTTTCTAAATGTATTTGACCACAGAACCCTTTTTCTCCTGCCACTTCTATTAATACCCTATGGAATGTGTGTTACAAAAGGCTTACCCACCAGGCTGTGCTGAACATTGGGTCTCCTTTTCTTCCCTGCTCCTGGCAGACACAGTCAGACCCATCTGCCTGCCCTTCCCTGATGAGGAGCTCACCCCAGCCACCCCAGTGTGGGTCATCGGATGGGGCTTTACAGAGCAGGGCGGAGGTAAGTCTTCGGCTCAGGACCACAGGGCAGAGGGAGTAGCAATCAAAGGTGATGGGAAGGAGGAGCATCCTTCAGAAAAACCCATCCTGGAAATCCAAACACCAAGGTTCCTGATAACCCAGAGAGTTATCCTGGATGGGGGGAGAAGGCAAGGACAGGAATGTGAGTATATTTTCAACTTCCCAGGGAAGATGTCTGATGTACTACTTCAGGCATCAATCCAGGTCATTGACAGGACTCGATGCAATGCAGAGGATGCATACCAGGGGGAAGTTACAAAGGAGATGCTGTGTGCAGGCATCCTGGAAGGCGGCACGGACACCTGCCAGGTGAGGCCTCCAACAGTCATGAGGGAATCCTATGGGTAAGGAAGTAGGTCCTAGAGAGACAAAAGTCCAAAAGCTGAATGCCCCTCATGAAGTCTTGCATATGATTGGCACTCAATGTGTAATGAAGGGAGGAAGGAAGAGAAACAGGGAAGAAGAATTATATCAGCTACAGATAGGGATAGATGGGCAGAGACAAGCAAAAGATTTAAAGTGTATATATGTATTTCACATACAAAGGCGATGTTACTCTCCCCACCCACCCTCATTCCCCCATCATCTAGAGGAATATGAGCCTCTTGAGGATAAGAATTCCAGGTCATTTTCTCTGTAACTGCCTTTAAGCTACTGAACTGCACTAGAGAAAACTTATCTCATGCTGGATGAGTCCTGGTTCTATGTCCTCTGACCCACCCCAGAGGATCTTCTGAGACATTCTCATGAAACCCCTGAACCTATTCCCACCTCCAGTCTCAGTCATTCAGTTCTTTTACTCAGGCAACATCTCTTAGTTGTGTCTCGAATGCCAGGTAAGTGCTGGGCTTGGAGACAGTGCCTTCCCTCAGGGAGCTCACCGTGGGGAACAGAGGTGCAGAAACAGCAGTCTGACCACTGTGTTGTTGGGTTTTGAGGGAAGAGGCCTCAAGGGCTATAGGAGCTGGAAAGATAGATGCCCAAATAAGTACACTTTCTACTATCTGAAATTTTTTTATCTGTCTTGTGTGATTGTTTATCCCCCTCTCACTCTTTCTTTCTCTCTCCCCTTCTCTCCTCCAATTGATTATAAGCTTCCTGAAGACAGAGAGCTTTGTTCTTTTCATTGATTGAACCCAGTTATCTAGAACACTGCCTAGCATGAAATAGGCACTCCATAGGTGGTTAAACACATTTGGGAAATATGATATTAAACAAAGAAAACCAGACTTCTTGCTGCAGAACCCCTTAGAGCCTTCAGTCGGTTGGTGTGAGTTGTGGATTACAAGAGGGGCTATGGGCATACCCATGACTTACTTGACCTGTAACAGAACGCTTCTGCCCCGAAAGAGGATATTCTAGGCTGCAGGAACAGTCTGAGCAGGGGGAGCAAGGCAGGCCAGCAGACGGAGCTGGGGCAGTGCAGGAAAACAGATGGGCCAGTGCAGGGAGGGGAGGAAGGAGAAGCCCACCCCTCCACCTCACCCCATCTGCCCTACCCAGCAGTCCCTGCTCTGCCCTCTCACAGGGTGACAGCGGTGGGCCCCTGATGTATCACTCTGACCTGTGGCAAGTTGTGGGCATCGTGAGCTGGGGCCATGGCTGTGGGGGCCCAAGCACCCCAGGAGTATACACCAAAGTCACAGCCTATCTCAACTGGATCTACAGTGTCCGGAAGGTGAGCACGTTTGCCCTACCTATTGTGCCCTCCCTTCCTTCCTCTACTCTTAGGACACTCAGTCATCCTTAGGTTTAATTTCAGTGGCTCTGAGACCATTCATATCCCAAATAATTTTCCCTACCAGAAAGTAACAGCCTGGGCTTCCACCATTAAGAGCTGAAATTCCTTAGATCAGTAATCCCCATTAAATGCAAATACTTTAGAATATGGGACACACCCAGCCTTATCATTGTGTACTTTCTGACAAAATGATACTATCTGGTAAGTCCCAGAGAATGGATTCTGATGAGAAGAAGGGAAGAAAGGCTTATGAGGCTTCCCTACAGGGCAGAGGAGCAAAGAGCTCAGGAAAGGAAGATTAATTGTACACACATCACTGCTTTGTCCACTTTCAAATCATGATTCTCTCTTTGTTGTTCTCTTATTTTAGTCTGAGCCATGATGCCGCTGCCCCTCCACAGTGCTGGAAACTTCTTCCCCCCTTGTCGTGACCAGCTGGGGATCTCCTAGAAGTCAGACACAGAGAAAGAGCCCCCTTGGGCACACCTCTCCATCCACAGCTTCAGCATTTCTTGGTGTAGCAAAGGGCCTCCATTCCTGAAAGAGATCTTGTAGCCCACACTCTCAAGAGGAAGTCAGCAGGCCCAGTACAGCTGATCCCTGGTGCTCCCAGTATCCCAAGGAGAGAGACACAGTCCACTGAACTGGCTAGTCTCTGAGCCAAGGTCTCAGAAGGCATTGCTGAGCTCAAAGGAACATCCCCGCTCTACTAAATAGAAGTAGACTCTCTGGTGAAAGCCCAGATCACCAAGAGCTAGAATGGAGGGAGGAAAGGGTCTGAACCAGCCTTCTCTTTCTCCACCCATCCCCAAGTCTATCTGGACAAGAAACCAGTTGTAATGTGAAATGCACTGTCCTGCTATTGTCACAACTACCCACATTTACTGTTTTTGCTACTGTTACCTATATGGCCACTTTTATTAAACAGGTATGTGAAGTCTTTGACGTAGTCTGACTGGATTGCTTAATAAGGACTGAGTTAGGGCTATTGAACCACAATCTTTCTCCTTTGACCTGGGTAGGGACAGACCTTGGGGAGACAACTAATTCTCAGAGTAGAGGCTTAGAGAAAAGGAAACAGAGAGACCAGAGCTGCTGAATGGGAGCAATAGTGAGCTGCAGGCTGGGGAAACCACAGTGAGCAGGTCTATTTCCCACTCAGGCTGTCTCCCATTGCCGTCCTCCCTTCCTACTGGCTGTGGCATCAGCCATGGGACAGAGATAACCTGTGGCTCAGGAGGGTGATGATTTAGGCATTCAAAGATGAGGTTAAGTTATGTCTCTTCAAGTGGCTGGGAAAAAACAATGTACCTCTGAGTCCTAACTTCTATGTACCTAGCGAGCCCTGGGTGTGGTTTTTATCATTTATTTTTTAAAAAAGGTCATTTAGGGAGAGGTGCAGGGGAAAGTGGTGGCAGGAAGGTGGAAACAAATGCATTTGAACAAAAAATAAAAATTTTAAAAAACTAAAATATATATATATATATAAAAGGTCATTTATCACCAGCCAGGTATGAGGTGATCCCCAAGATGGGTTCTAGGAATATAAACTCCTGCACTCAAAAAAACAAGCCCCAATGGATTTCTCTGACCACTGTATGGAGGTTCCAGTTTTGGGGTTGTTTGCTTGTTTGTTTGTTTGTTTGTTTGTTTGTTTGTTTTAGAGAGAAGGGAAAGGAGGGAGAGAGAGGGAGAGACAGAAACATCAGTTTGTGGGAGAAATTTCAATTGGTTCCTTCGTGTTTGCTCCCAACCAGGGACCTGGCCTGCAATGCAGGCATGTGCCCTGACTGGGAACCAAACCGGCCACTGGGTTTGCAAGAGGATGCCCAGCCCAGTGATCCACTCCAGTCAGAGCAAGACCCCAGTATTCTGAGGATCCTCTTTCTATAGCTGACTCAGATCCTAGATAAAATATACTTGTTAATGCCTTACTAGGTTCTTAGGAAATAATAGAAATCCTCGAAGACAGATAAATAAGTAAATACATCAGAATCGTGAGCTGGAACTAAGGTAGAGATCTGGGAGCAACAGCTGACTGAAGTTTTGTGTTGCCTTAGGGACAAAGACCTACAGGAAGACTGAGAACAGAACTAAACCCAGACCCACTGAAGAGAAGAGAGCTGCACCTAGGATGCCACATGAAATAGAGACAACTAAAGGAAACAGATGTGGTCACACGTAGCAAATCTAATAAGAAAGGAAAATATTTCAAATTTACAGACTTGGGATTCACAAAGACCCTCCAAATATGAGTTCACAATCAAAGATCTGCCAAGTTTTTTTTAAAAAGAAAAAAACCACCATGAATAGAGATCACTAAAATAGGAAATTTAGAATCCCGAGGACTTCAGATATTAGAATTATCAAATAATTATTATAATTACTAAAACTACAGAATATTTTTCTCTACCAGACACTATTTCAAGTGCTTCATTGTATACTGATTCATTTAATATTCACACAAAACTGTGAGATAAGTATTACGCTTATCCCCATTTTATGGATAAGAAAACTAAAACACAAGAGGTTAAATACCTTGCCTAAAGTTAGATACTGCTAAACTGAACATGAGCATTCTGATTCCAGAGTTGATGTTATAAACGATCAACTATAGGGCCTCCACTATGATGATAATTTATGAAATTTTTTAATAAATTAAAAGCAGATTTTTCCACATTAAAAAATTATTTTTAATTGTGGTAAAATACACATACGAGGGGGGACCCAAAAACCAGAATTTATTTATTAAAAAGGGTGTAATTATTCTTGCATGTTTAAAGTTCAGTCACCTTCAAAGCACTCTCCATTTGATGCAATACACCTATCGAGACTTTCTTCCCCTTGTTCAAAACAGTTTTTGAACTCGTCAATTTTGATGCCTTTTCGTGCTTCTGCCTTTTTTTTGTTTCATCTCTTCCCCATCAGTAAAATGTTTCCCTGTGATGACTTTTTTCATCTGAGAAAACAAAAAATAGTCGCTCGTGAGACTGGGTGAATAAGGAGGATAGGACATGGAGGTCACATCGTTTCTGGACAAAACCTGCTGAACGTTCAGCATTGTGTGGGCAGGTGAGCTCATAAATCACCCATTATGAAATGGGCAAATCTTTTGAGTCCTAAAAATAAAAAATTCACTGAAGCCAAGCGCAGCCTCTCACAAACCCAGCCAGTACAGTGATACAGATGTGTTCCTAGAACATTTATCTAGCAAGGGAAGCCTGTTCTACAAGGGACCTACCCTCCAGAAGATAATTCCAGTTTTTATGGTCCCCCTTCGTAACATAAAACTTGCCATCTTAACCTTTTTTAAGCATTTGGTTTGAAGATATTAAGTTTGTTCACATTTTTGTGCACCATCATCACTATTCATCTGCAGAACTATTTTTACCTGGCAAAACTGATACTCTATAACCATTCAATAATTCCCCACATCTCACCACCCCCAGCCTCAAGAAACCACAGTTTTACTTTCTGTCTCTACGAATATGGCTACTGTAGGCACCTCATAAGTGGAATCATACAGAATTTGCCTTTTGTCCCTAGCTTATTTCACTTAGAATAGTGTCCTCAATGTTCACGTCCTCATCAACACTTGTTAGTTTCTGTTTAAAAGTGGATATTTTAATAATCGACAAAAAATGACAGATTTGAAAAACCAAATAGAGCTCTTAGAAATAAAAAATGTGATTTTTAAATTCTCATCTGAGAATATGTTTTTATTGATTTGAGAGAGAGGCAGAGACAGAGAGAGAGAAGCCTCAATGTGAGACAGAAAGATCGATTGATTGCCTTCCTTATGCACCCCAATCAGGGATCAAACCCACAACCAAGGTATGCATCCTGAATGGGAATCAAACTGAAAAAACTACTAGATTTGCAGCAGAAAGAGATGATGAGATAAAAAATGTGAATACAAGGCTAGGAACAATAGAAGCTAAAACGATAAGGTCTAACATATCTAGTTAGAGACCCAGAGAGAGGGAATAAAAAGAATGAAAGAGACAATATCCCAAGACGTAACAGCTGAGATTTCAGAACTGATTAAAGGCATAAATGTACAGATACAGCATATGCCACCAGAGTATATGTACACCCATGCTAACAAGATGGAAACATTAAAAGAAGCCCTCACCTAAGCACATTGTAGTAAAACTTCAAAACACCACAACAGGGGTAAAGAACTCTAAAGCATCAAGAGAGAAAATGAAGATCACCTACAGTACCACTAATGTACCACAATTAGACTAACAGGAGACTTCCCCACAGCAAGAAAGGAACTAGAAGACAGTGGAATTTTATCTTCAGTGTGCCAAGAGATAACTGTCAATCAAGAATTGCGAACTCTACAAAACAATCTTTCAAGAATAAACACATTGCCCTGACTGGTGTGGCTCAGTGGGTCGGACATTATACTGCAAACCGAAAAGTCTCAAGTTCAATTCCCTGTCAGGGCACAAGCCTGAGTTGTGGGCCAGGACCTTCGTTGTGGGTGTACAAGAAGCAACCGATTAATATTTCTGTCATACATCCAGGTTTCTCTTCCTCTCTTTTTCTTTTTTTGTTGTTGTATTTAAAGTGTTTGTTTTCTTTTATTTTATACAGATTTTATTGGTTATGCTATTACAGTTGTCCCATTTTTTTTCTTCCCTTTGTTCCCCTCTGTCCTGCACACCACCTCCCACCAGCATTCCCACCCCCTTAGCTCACGTCCATGGGTCGTACATATAAGTTCTTAGGCTTCTCCATCTCCTATACTATTCTTAACCTCCCCCTGTCTATTTTGAACCTACTATTTATGCATCTTATTCCCTGTACATTTTCCCCCATTCCCCATCCCCTCTGATCTCCATTTCTGTGTTTCTGTTTCTGTTCTAGTTGTTTGCTTAGTTTGTTTTTGTTTTGTTTTTTTAGGTTCAGTTGTTGACAGTTATGAGTTTGTTGTCTTCTTACTGTTCAGTGTTTTTGCTTTCTTTTTTTCCTTAGATAAGTCCCTTTAACATTTCATATAATAAAGGCTTGGTGGTGATGAACTCCTTTAACTTTAACTTATCTGGGAAGCACTTTATCTGCCCTTCCATTCTGAATGATAGCTTTGCTGGAGACAGTAATCTTGGGTGTAGGCCCTTGCCTTTCATTTCTTTGAATACTTCTTTCCAGCCCCTTCTTGTCTGCAAGGTTTCTTTTGAGAGCTAAGCTGATAGTCTTATGAGAACTCCTTTGTAGGTAACTGTCTCCTTTTCTCTTGCTGCTTTTAAGATTCTCTCCTTATCTTTAATCTTGGGTAACTTAATTATGATGTGCTTTGGTGTATGCTTCCTTGGGTCCAACTTCTTTGGGACTCTCTAAGCTTCCTGGATCTCCTGGAAGTCTATTTCCTTGGCCAGATTGGGGAAATTCTCCTTCATTATTTTTTCAAATA